ATACACATGCACCTGGCATTTTTCAAGCTGCCAGGTCTGGGACTTGAACTGCATAGTCAGCCATGTGAAATCCAGTTGCCCTAACCACCACACAACAAGGCTGGTCCAGGACCACAAAGAATTTAATCATTATTATACCAACTTATCTAATAATACATTTTAAACACCATAACAAGAGAATGAGAAGATAAGTTACACATTAGGAGAAAATATTTGCAAGAAGACACATCTGATAAAAGACTTATCCAAAATATGCAATCAACTATTAAAACTCAACAAGAAAATAAGTAACCTGAGTTAAAAATGAGCCAGAGATCTTAACAGATATGTCATGGAAGAGGACACAGAGATAGCAAAAAAGCCTATGAAAAGATGCTCTGCATCAAATGTCATCAGGAAAATGCAAATTAAAATGAGATTTCACTATATATCTATTAGAATAGCCAATATCCAGAACACTGACACCACCAAATGTTGGTAAGGATATGGAGCAAGAGGAACTCTCATTCATTGTTAGTGGAAATATAAGTGGTTACGACTATTTTGGAAAACATTTTGGCAGTTTCTTACAGAACTAAATACACTCTACTTTTTATCCTTAATGACACAGGGCAACTGCACATGCATGAGAGAAAGAGAGAGGGGAGGGGTAGGGGACAGAGAGTGCACACACCCACACAAGTAAAAGCACATCTCCCAATGGGACCTGGTTACACTGCAATCCTCTTTTCTGATTCTCCATACTGTCAAGATCCTGGGCATGTGTGCACACCCAACATGTTTTTTCAAGCAGAGGGGACCAGGACTTGAATCCTGATCAGCCATATGTGATGTGGCTTCCTCTGTGCAGCACCTAACCACTATATTATAGGGCCAGACCTTAAATAAACTCTTCTCATATACTCCAGCTATTGCACTCCTTGATGCTTACCCAAAGGAGCAAAAAACTTATGTCGAGACAAAAACCTGCACATGGATGTTTATAGTAACTTTATTCACAATTGTCAAAATTTGGAAGCAACCTAGATGTCCTTCAATAGGTGAACCAATACACAGTGCCACATAGACAATAAACTATTATATAATGATAAGAAGAAATTAACTATCAAGCCATGAGAAGACATGGAGGAACCTTATATGCATATTATTTAGTTAAAGAAACCAATATGAAAAGGGTATAAACTGTGATTCTAACTATTCCAATATATGACTTTCTGGAAAAGGCAAAATTACGGAAACAACAAGACTAGAGGTTGCCAGGGGAGTGAGTGGAGACAGGGATAAATAGGAGGTACACAGAATTTTCAGGACAGTGAAAATACTGTGTGATACTACAGTAATGTATACATACCATTGTATATTTGTCCAAGCCCATAATATGTACAAGAAGATTGATTCTTAATGTAAACTAGCGACTTTGAGTAATAACAATGTGTCAACAAAGGTTTATCTGTGGTAACAAATACACCACTCTAATATGGGATATTGATAATGTGGAAGATTGTGTACATGTAGGAGAAGCAAGCATTTGAGAAACTTCTTTACCTTTCAATTTTGCTGTGAGCCTAAATCTGTTCTAATATAACAGTCTTTTTTTTTTTTTTTTTTTTTTTTGCTATAAGGGTGCATGTGCTCACTGGAGAGGCAGAGGGAAACAGAGAGACAGAAAGCAAGAAATCACCCCTCAGTGGGGATGGCCACCCTGCAATCCCTTCTCTTCCACTCTCCCCTTGGGATTTTGGGCATGCACACGCATGCCCTTAAAAATGTAACAACAGGGACCAGTAGTTGGCGTAATGTCTATGTCGCTGGACTCCCACATAGTTGACTGCGGTTCGAGTCCCAGACACGGTGGCTTAAACTCACACCGGGCGCATGTGTGTGTCCAAAATCCCGAGAGGAGAATGGAGAAGGGATTGTAGCGTGGCCATCCCCCTTGGGGGGTGATTTCTCGCTTTCTGTCTCTGTGTTTCTGGTGAACGCACGCAGCCTGTAACAAAAACCTCTCCAAAAAAAGAAAAAAAAAAGTTACAACAAAAGCGTTAACATTTTTATGCTAAAGTCAGTTTATTATTAGAAACTCACCTCCAGTCTAACCATTCTACATGGCCTGTACTAGAGCAGATTCCACAGATGTCCCAATCGTGCTCATTCAGGTCTCTACACCTTTGCTATTAATTCCTACTATTCTGCCCAATGCCCTTTCCTCCTTGCTGTCTCGGAACCTGTACAGGTACTTCAGTACTCAGTCCAAGTGTTAATAACCTCCTCCACATCCTTTTTCTGGCCTCTCTCTTTCCACACTTGATACAATGTAGGAGAGCAAACCTCTGCGAGTCTCTGGAAAGCCAGGAGCGCAGCTTTTTCTTTTTGACCTCTACATTTCCTAGCACCCACCAGGAATTCACATTTTCTGAGCATAAAATCAAACAGCCAAAGGTGATATGAAAATATCTCAAACAAATCAGTGACACTGATTTGGCTTTTGGTTATCTGTAAAAAGAACATAGCTGAACTGAACCTAGTAAGTTTAAATTCTGAACAATGCATCTGTCACAAGTCCTTTAAATATTCAGCTTTACCTCATTTTAAATGTAAATCCATTCACTCTAGTAAAAAGCAAGGTGAAGTTCATCTTGCAATGTGCTTCAACACTCAAACCACAGGAAACCGTATCACTGAAAAAGTCACCACCATAAGAGGCTGAGAGAAGAGATCACAGCATCTCTGAATTCTCTTATCTCTTCATGCTCACAAGGAGAACAGGAGAATTTTTTTTTCCTTTTTTTAAATAGTCAGAGGGGGGAACCAGCAGTTAGCGTAATGGCTATGTCGCTGGACTCCCACGTAGTCGACCGCGGTTCGTGTCCCGGACCCGGTGGCTTAAAACTCACGCCGGGCGCGTGTGCGTGCGTGCCCAAGATCCCGGGAGGAGAATGGAGGAGAAGGGATTGCGGCGTGACCATCCCCCCTGGGGGGTGATTTCTCGCTTTCTGTCTCTATGTCTCTCTCTGTCTGTCTGGCGAGCGCACGCGCCCTATAGTGAAAAAAAAAAAACCCTCTCAAAAAAAAAAAAATAGTCAGAGGGCACATGTGCTTGACAGAGAGGGAGAGAGAGAGAAAGAATATGAGTACACCTTAGTAACATGGTCACATTGTGATCCTTTTTTCTTTTTTCCATCCTGTCAGGATACTGGGTATGTGCCTGGCAGGTTTTTCAAGCTGCTGGAACTGAGATTTGAACCACACAGCTGGCCATGTGAGATCCAGCTCTCAAGCGCTGCACTTAACCATTGCACTGCAGAGCTGCCCCAGGAGTAGGAGTAGGAATTTTAGCTACAATTCTTTACCTCAGAGTGGGATAAGGTTTTTTTTTTTTTTGGGGGGGGGGGTTTGCTATAGGGCGCGTGCACTCACTGGAAAGAGATGGAGACAGAGAGACAGAAAGTGAGAAATTACTCCCTGGGGGGATGGCCATGCTGCAATTCCTTCTCCTCCATTCTCCTCTCGGGATCTTGGGCACGCACGCACACACAATTGGCATGAGTTTAAGTCACTGGGTCTGGGACTCGAACCACAGTCAAATGCATGAGAGTCTAGCGATATAGCTATTATGCCACTTGCTGGTCCCGAGATAAGGCTTTAACCAGAGGCACCAGAGCCAGTTCCTTGCATGATGAGTTAGAGGCTAACCTTGCAGAGTAGTAGGAGGCAGTGGTGATCCTCCAGGCCCAAATGCAACCCTGCAAGGGAATTTCTGACTTTCATACAGAGTTGCCTTTAGGTTTCTTTCTTGCCTTTTTTCTAATTTTTATTTTTTAAAGAGGTTTTTGCCTTGAGATGGCAGGTGGCATAGTGGAGCTGGACTCCCACATGGCCAACCACAGTTCGAGTCCTGGACCTGGTGGCTTGCTTTCTCACTTTCTCTCTCTCTCTCTCTCTCCCCCTCTCTGGTCAAATTAAAATAAATAAATAAAGTTAAATAAAATAATACTCAAAAAAAGAGTTTTTTGCCTTAGAGTGGGAGTGCTCACTGGACAGAGAGAGAGACAGAGATGTAAGCAGGAAAGAAAGAAATCACCTCTCTGGAGTGATGGCCACACCACACTCTCTTCTCCATTCTCCTCCTGGGATCTTAGATGTGCACACACACGTACCCAGCATGATTTTCAAGCCACTGGGTTCAGGACTCAAACTGCAGTTGGCCCCCAGAGCTGCCATAAGTTTCTAAAGATCCCAGAGATAGTTTCCAAAAAGACTCATATATATGAAAAAACCACCAACTCAATGTAATAGACAATAACCAATTTAGGTCAAATTCTGAGTTTTTAGACTTAGCTGTTAAGACCAAGCAAAAGGAAGTAAAGTTATCACCTACTTTCACTATCAATAAAGGACATACCTTTCTGCTTTATAAATGCAGGGAGTATGCTGGGGAAAACTTTCAATTCCCTGCTATCTACTTTCAGATCCATATTCCCCGGGAGCCTCAGAACAGGTTGCCTGATTGCTGACTGACTATGGGAGAAAGAGAGCATGAGGGAGGGGGAGCGAAAGAGGGCACGTACGCACACGTGCCCGGTATGAGTTAAAGCCACCGGGTCTAGGACTTGAACTGCAGTCGGCTACATGGGAGTTCAGCGACATAGCCATTATGCCAACTGCTGGTCCCAAAGACAGATACTTTTTAACAGGATCTCACTATGTCACATGTTATGATCCTCCTGTCTCAGCATTCCTGTCAGCCAGATCCACAGGCATGCACTACCCTGCACCCTATTTTTTTAGGTTGGGCTGAGAATTGAACCCAGGCCTCCTGTGTGCCCTGGCTAACACACAGCATCCCACTCCGACTTGTGACACTGTGGCTGGGACCTCATTTGCTTTTGTATCCTCTTGAGCTCTTCAACTCCTAAAAATCATGAACTGGCTTGCTCAATGCTGACATATTTAACTTATCAACTCTTCCCCTATCTAAATGTCCTCTATAATCTTCTTACCTACAGTTAGGAAGGTGCTCAACAGCTGCTCCGTGGCAACAGGCTTGATCTCTGTCCGCAGATTAACGTATCTGCCAACCACCAAGGGGGCTCGACGGAAACCCAGGATCCTGGTTAGGAAGGTTGAAAAAAGAGAGGAGAAAAATCTCTGGGGATAAATTTTAAACAACAGTCTCAAAAATGATGATGAATCATGTCAGATGTATAAAGGTACTGTAGCTCAGCAGGTAAGTCTAATCTTTTTAGAGGTACATATATTTAGATGTTTAATGTCCAAATGTATGTAATTTATGGTAACACAAATGAGCAAAAAGGATAAAGCAAATCTGGTAAAATGTGAAAAATTATTAACCATAGAAAGTGAGTATATGAGTTCATTACACTATTTTCTCTACTTCTGTTGAAAATTTTTTATAATGAAAATAAAAATTTAACAAGTTAGCATAGGAAAAAATTAGGCCTAAAATTATGTAAATTAAAAGTTTGGCTAAAACAACACATTGACAAAAAAACTATGCAGATTGATCTAGAAGGATAAACCCATAGTACAACTTAAACATGGACATATTTGAAGGTATCTCTATCTAATCCAAAAGCACTACCTTGTACTTGAAAAACTTTTTACTTCAAGAGGGTACATGTGTTCACCAGAGAAAGATGGAGGGGGAAAAACGACTCCCAGTGGGGTGTGGTCACAATGCAATCCCTTCTCCTCCATTTCTCCATCCTGTTGGGATTGTGGACACATGCACCAGATGCTGTCTTTCAAGCTGCTGGGGATGGGACTTGAACCACAGTTGGCCATGTGGGACCCAGTTCCTATAATCACTAGGCTATGGGGCAGACTCAAAACCAGTCATTTTTTTAAATAATGAAATTTCATGGCTAAAAAATATACTAATTGAAGGTTGGTTCTTCTTTTATATTAATTTGCACTTGCCAGAGACAGAGAGAAGGAAGGGAAAGTGAGAAAGCACCCCCATAGGGGATGGTTACACCACTGTCCCTTCCATCTCTCCCTCCGATCAGGATTTTGAGCATGCATGCACACACACCTGGTGTGTTTCACAAACTGCCTGGTCCAGGACTCAAACCGTGCAATTGGCCATGTAAAGACCAGTTGCCTTAACAACCATGTTTCCACTGGCTCCAGTGAATAATTTCCTTTAAAGTCTGCCAATATGCCCTGAGGAAAGAACTTGTCAGAAGAGTAACAGGGATACCAGATGGTTCAATTACAAGATTCCTGACCAGCAACCTACTGAGAACAAATATTAATTTCCCAGTTAACTTACAAACTTAGAATATATATCAATTTTTCTTTTAGAATTATTCTGCTTTTTTAAGCTATGAATATTCTGTATAAAGGACAATAAAATTCATTATGTATTTCATGCTATATGTTTCCAGTGTATGAGAACAACTCAATGTTATTTAAAAAGAAAACAAACAAAAAAACCAGACTGCCAGTCCCAATTAATGACCAATTCAGTTCAAGAATTTGAGTTCAAACTTTGGTTTTGATACCATTTTATTTACCAAGAATATATTCACTCATGGTAATGACAGAAGGCACACTAGGAATGAAATGACCTTAGAAAGCCTAGAATTAAAATATTTACTTTGGGGGACCAGCAGGTGGCATGGTGGTTAAATCGCTGGACACTCCCACATGGCTGACCACAGTTCCCATCTCACACCTGGTGGCTTGCTTTCTAACTTTCCTACTCTCTCTCTGGTCAAATTAAAGTAAGTGAATGAATAAACTCAATTAAATTAAAGTAATTCTTAAAAATAATTTACTTTGATTTTCCTGGTGCCACTTAAATTATGAGGGATTTATATAATTGTGATAGAACTAGTTAATTCACTATCTAAATAGAAAGCAAGACAAAGTTATTAGTGTTTTACTTTAACGTACTTCGAGAGATTTTTTTAAATGTTTATTTATTTCTTTATTGTGCGAGAGAGACAAAGTTTTGAAGTCATTATTCACCCAGAGCTGTAGTCACCCAGATCACCGGCACATGCATGCCTGGCATGTTCAAGGGGGGTCTCTGGATACGAGCCTGGAACCTTCATACGTGAGCCAGCATCACACAATGTTGCGTCTTACTGGGACACCACCACCCAGTCCCCACAGAGAGAGATTTTTTTTAAAAGAAAAGAAACCTAACCTGATGTGATTGCACATACCTGTCCAAATGAAAGGCTGCTACCTCTGCATTGTGTCTATCATAACCAGCATACGGTTCCCCTTCTACCACATAGTCTCGGCTATACCTGCAAAGTGAACAGGAAGCACAGATATGGATGTGAATTACATCAGTACCAGAGGTGACAGCTCAGGAGTTAGAATACACATTTTATTTTTATTTATTTATTTATTTTTTGGAGAGGTTTTTGCTAATGCGCCCTATAGCAAAGACAGAGACAGACAGAGAGACAGAAAGTGAGAAATCACTCCCTAGGGGGGATGACCACGCTGTAATCCCTTCTCCTCCACTCTCCTCTCGGGATCTCGGGCACGCACACACATGTGCCTGGTGTGAGTAAGCTACCAGGTCCAGGACTCAAACCGCGGTTGACTACATGGGAGTCCAGTGACAGAGCCATTATGCCAACTGCTGGTCCCTAGAATATACACTTTAGTAAGCTTGATTCTGCTCTACAGACACCTTCTCTGGCCCTGAAAACAAGTGTGGATTAGCATGAACTGCTGGTCAATGGGGTAAAGATGAGGGAAAGAAGGAAACTCAAATTCTATTATCTGCCTCAGCAATCATTTATGAATAAAACATGGAAGGTGTTATTTTTACCCCTAGAAAAGGCTTTCAATGTAGTTTAAATACAACTACAAGTTAATTTTCTGAAAGGTAAAAACCATCTCTGTATCACCAGCACAGTGTTAAGCCTAGAGTTGGTGCTTAGCAAGTGTCTTCTAAAATGTTTATCAAACTAAACTCAAGAGAGAACTTTAAATCTCTTGGAGAGGGACCAGCTGTTGGCACAATGGCTATGTCACTGGACTCCCATGTGGTTGGCTGAGGTTTGAGTCCCGGACCCATTGGTTTAAACTCACTCTGGGCGTGTGTGCGTGCGTGCCCAAGATCCCGAGAGGAGAATGGAGGAGAAGGGATTGCAGTGTGTGGCTATCCCCCCCCCAGGGGGGTGACTCCTCACTTTCTCTCTGTCTCTGTCTTTCTGGTGAGCACACGCACCCTATAGTAAAAACCTCTCCACCAAAAAAAAAAAAAAGAAAAAGAAAAATCTCTTGGAGAAAAATGATTATGCTAGTCCTCAGTCTCTATTAATGAGACAGCAAGGCACTTTTGACAAAAGTTGTTTAAATGATCCTTCTTCTGTTTTCAGGTTTATGAGGATGAAGTGGAAGGAATCCTGGACTGCCAATGACAGCTGTGTGCGGCTCTGTCACTACCTGATTAGGAAACACTGAGCGAAATATTTCTCTTCTCTGGGTTTCAGATTGCTTATCTGTACCATTAGGGGCTAATGAGATTATTTCTAGGGTCTTTTATTGCAAACTACATTCTGATGACTGTATAATCATCTAAATGACGTAAACAAAAGATAACTAAAACTAGCATACTTCAGTAATCACTTTGAAAGATATGATTTAAATCTATTTTTTTTAAAAATGCTATAGGGTGTGTGCGCTCAACAGAGAGAAACAGAAAGAGAGGGGAAGCATGCCCCAAAGGGGATGGCCACACTATATTCCTGTTTTCTCCATTTTCCTTTAAGGATTTTGGGAACACTTTCACATGCACCTGGCATGATTTTCAAGCCACCCGGTCTAGCACTCAAACTGTGTAGTCAGCCATGTGGGAACCAGCTGCCTTAACCACCATGCCACCTGCAGGCCCCAATTTAAACCTATTAATTGGGAAGAAAGAAAGCACTTAATGCACCTATGGCCTCTACTACTCCCCTGCATCCCTAAATCAAAAGGAGACCTATTAGGCTTTACAATAGATCTGTGAAATCGAAATAAATTGTGATTGAAGTGAGGAAGAGCAGTCCCACCAAGGACATTTGGACCTCCAATGCTGAAGCAGACAAGAAGTAAAAAAGGCACTCACTCTGCAAGCCAGTGACTTTCCACTTAAATGACCTTAAACTATAGTGAAATCACATCCACAAAATGTATTTTCAAGGCAAAGTGATGAAGCATTTATGTTAGAAGACAGCTAGACAATCACCATAGTTAGACAACACTTTGTTCTCAGCATGGTCAATATACCCAAAGGGTTATTCAGACTACCTAAGTTTGTACTGGCTAACTCTAGAAAGGGGAGAGTATAAGGAAATAAATTAGGAGGAAAATAGAAGCAAGACATTTATGGGACACAGAAATGTATTATTATCTGTTGATGACAATGTGTTTTGTATCCTCAACTGGACTGGTGTAAAGTGTATTTGTGTGGGATAAATTCAACTTATAAACTGAGAGATGTATAGTGATTAAATGCATAAAAATTTTTAAATAAAGAAAATAAATGTCACTTCTAAAATAAGTCAATTTTTAAATACACTGCAGCAAAAGCTGACATGATTCAAGCACTTTTCTCTCTGTCTGATGATCCCTGAATACTTTACTTTTCAGGACTACAGCACATAATGTGATGTGCGGGAGATTCCTTTCAGTGAAACATTGGAGAGTTTTCTGTTTTATCTATTGGTTGTTTGGAGTGAACATAAAGCCATAGAGGAATCCAAGAACTTTGGGGTGGGCTGGAGAGGAAGGAGGGAAGAAAAGGAAAAGGAATGAAAAACGAAAGAACTGCATTTAATCAGGTCTGAATCCTTAGCTCCTGTTTTGGCTAAGTGAGGTATGGAAAGCCTGAGTTCTGCACCTCACTTTCCTCACCTATAAGATGAATTAATTGGACTAGCTGATCTGCAAGGTCTCTTTTGGCACTTCCTAAGATCACCCACTCACTTCTACCCACTCCTAGACCCCTGCTTTTTTTTTTTTTCTTTTCCATAATTGCAGTTTTTGCCCGTGGAAATCAATTTACTTCCAGGATGGATGGAGCTACGTTGAAAAAAAAAATTACTCTTATGATGTAATCCAAAAAGTATAAATACAAAAATCACTGTATTCCTACATATATCATCTACCTGTACATAGCTTCTATCTCTGAAAGCAGGTCATGGACAACAGGGCTCCAGAAGTATCAGACGCACTCTGCCATTAAAGAAAGGTACATGTCTTGACTTAGCAGTTAAGGACTTAGATCCTCCTCTCAGCAGAGAGTGATCCATCTTAAGTCACTGACATAGCAGCAAAATTCATACGGTAACTGCCAATAAATCACTCATATCTTTCTAGTGAAGGACGTCAGAGCCTGACCAAGGACATTAACTTGCACTTACACCAGGACTAAATAGTCTCTGTGGCCCTAGGGGTCAGGAGTACATTTTGCTGGGCGTTTTAGAAACTGGAGTCAATTTCTACACATGCACTTAAACCTCCACCTGTCTCCCCAACCTGGGATAGCGCCTGGAGTAGAGCAGCACGGGTCAGTGTGCACAGTGACTAAGAAAGCTAACTCCTGCCATGGGGGCCCAGCACCTCAATGGTGGGGAGGAGAGTACCCTGGAGCTGGGAGTGGACGTGGGCTGTCAGGAGATGGTGGGGACAGATGGGCCAGTTTGACAGGAATAAAGAGTAAGGGAGGAGTATGATGGGTAAAGGAGGAGGAAAAGACAAGGGGTTTGACTGTTAGGCTGGGTTTTATCTGGTGGGCCATGGGAGTCTTGGGGTATTCTAAAGGTGGGAGCACAGTGATAATGTAGGTACTGTGGGGAGAAATGGAAGTGGTTTACAGAATGGTCTGGAAGAAGGTGGTAATGGGAAGGTTGCAATGGTAGTAAAAAAAAGAGATGAAGCTATGAGTGACAAAAGATTATGCATTTATGAGTTTGCCAATTCAGCTGTCTGGCCACCCTCCCTACACTTATACTGTGTTCAAACACCCTAGGCCGACCTGCAAAGCTCCTGATCTGACACTGCACACCATCAGAGTATGTCTGTCTTCTAACACTTCCTGCTTCCCACCTCAGCCTCAATTCCCCAGGGTAAAGTGGTGGGTTTGAAGAGGATCTCTTCTTTAAACATGAAATGCTCCAAACTAATTTCTTTCTATACAAATTTAATTCCTATTTTTAGTTTCCTTCTATCACTCTGTTCATCTGCTGATCTCTCAAGTTACAAACCAGGAGGTCAAAAACCACACTTCCAAACTAGATTAGTGATTCTGATGGGTGCTCCATGTCATCACACTTATAGGAAAGCAGACAGACCTGGAGAACTGCATGCATGTGGCAGAATCCAAGCTGCTGACAGATCTGGTTCAAAATCCAGTGCCATGGATTACTGTAGGTGACTGTCAGAATAGTTACTCCCTCTAAACTAGTTTATTACTCTAGAAATAAGAACTGAATCTGCCTATGGGGCTAATCCTGCCCATGACAGATACAAAAGCACTTAGTGTAATGCCTGGTGAACTGTGTGCATCTGAAGGAATGCAATCCCAAGCTCTACATAACTACACTTTTTCCACATTACTAGCCCGTCATTCTGTTCTCCAAAAGGCTACTGCATTGTTAAACTCTCTTAATTTCCACATTTCCCACACATCAAATGTCCAGTTCCAGGCAAATACAAATCCCTCCCATTTCTGGGATCCTAACACATGAATTTTCTGGCTGTCTTTTATCTACTGATAGTTGGACACTAAAGGGAGTTGAATTTGCACATCCCCTTACTTCTCATACTCTAGCAAGAAATCTAAAGTTATGTTATAATTCAAAATCTCCACTGAGGAATAAAAAAATGTTTAGTATACAAAAAAAAACTTTAAACATACAACCTTTGTGAGTATTCACAGACAGCTAACTCATGGCAAAAGAATATAAATCATGATGTTAACCTACTTTAAATAAACTTTATATATATATTTCTTTATATGTATATTTACATTTATATATATATAATACACACATATAATTATTTATTTAATTTGATTTATTCATTTATTTATTTTAATTTGGCCAGAAAAAAAGAGAGAGAGAGAAAGCAAGTCACCAGGTCTGGGACTTAAACCATGGTTGGCCATGTGAGAGTGTCCAGCACCTTAACCACCATGCCACCTGCTGGTCCCAGGAAACGTGAATTTTTTTTTTTTTTTCCTTTTTTAAATTAATTGTATCATAGAATTGCCACACAAAATACTTCTGTAGATCCCCAGAGAAGTCCAAAGGGATCACTAACAACATAGATACCATTCATTCATTCATTCATTTATAGAGAGAGATTTTTGCTATAAGGCGTGTGCGCTTGCCAGAGAAAGAGGGACAGACAAAAAGCGAGAAATCACCCCCCAGGGTGATTGGTCATACACAATCCTTCTCTATTCTCACAATTTTGGGCATGCACATACATGCGCCTGGTATGAGTTTAAGTCACTGGATCCGGGACTCCAACTGTGATCGACTACATGGGAGTCCAGTGACATAGCCATTACGCCAACTGCTGGTCCCAGAAGCCAATCTTAAAAGGATTCTAATAATAAGACATTCTGGAAAAGGCACAACTCTGGAGACAGTAAGAGCAGTGTTGCCAGAAATTTAGGGGCAGGGAAGGAAGGATGAACAGGAGGAAAATAAAATTTTCAGGACAGGTAAACTATTAGGTCATTAGGAAAGTTGTGATGTACTTTCACATAGAAATGTATTTTGCATGTATTTTTCTATGCAAAAATACATCATGACTTTCCCAATGACCCAATATATTATAATGGCAGAGACAGGTCATTATACCTTCGTCCAGACTCATAAAATGTACAACATAAACAACCAACTATAAACTTTAGTTAATAATATATCAATATTGGCTCATCAATTCTAGTGAATGTACTAGACTAATGGATGTTAACAATAGAGGAAACCAAAGGGATAGTTCACTCTCTGTATATTCCCCTCAATTTTCCTATAAACCTAAAAGTGATTTAAAAAAGTCTATTAATAAAAACAAAACACAAAACCCAGATGAAAGACTCAAAGTTTCAGTACTGAAAGGGACTTAAGCCACTCACAGAAAATCTACTCCAGCTCTGGGTAACACCTATTCTCCAGTATCCCCGACATGTAGTTGTCTGGTCTTTGTACATTTTTGGTGACAAGTTGCTTATTTCTAACCAACCCATTTTGTATCTCTTTTTTTTTTAATTTGCCAGAGACAGAAAAGGTGAGGGAGAAAGCACCTTGCAATGGGGCATCATCATGCCACAGTCCCTTCTCCATTTCTCTATCTTGCCAGGATTTGGGGCATATAGGCACATGTCTTCCAGACCAGACCACTCACTGGGTTGGTATCTGTACTATGTGGTCGGCCATGTGGGATTTGGTTCTCTTAAGTACCAGGCCGTGTGGCCAGCTCCATTTTTCATCTCTATCAGTTGGTACACATATATATTTGATACATTAGAAATCAACGATAGCCCCAACTCTCAAAAAGTTTAGCCTTACATAAAACCAAAATGTGTTCTTATAAATTTTCTCCACTTGAAAAATCACTGAACCTGAAGAGTTAGAAAAGATTTCAGAGATCTTCTAGTCTATCCCACCTCATTTTACTGAAGAGACCAAGAAGAAATGAACATTCTTTTATATAAACATTCTCATATATACATCCAAGCTAGCTGAATCAATCAATTAGCACATATAAATTCTGAGATGGACTTACCGCTTAGGTTTGAAGACAACTTTCTGTCCTCCTTCAAGTATCAGTAAGGCTTTCAGCTGTGTCCCTTTATAACCCACGTCAGCTTTAATGATTTTCTTGGTGGCCATGGCATGCATGATAGCCCCCAGCTCTGGTGTCTCTTCAGGGTACACTTCCCGGGGAACCACCCACTGGGCTGCAATCTCCCAGGGAGACTGTAGGGTGTGGTCTAGTTTGGGAGCTAGCTCTATCCGCAAGCCAGTCATCATTCGGTGGAAAGCCCTCTGGTCCTCCCGGTTGGCAGCTGAAGTATCTAAGTTGTCAATCAGGAAAACTTTGGTGAAGATAAAGATGACAAGGAGAATTGCTAACAGCACAACTCGCTGCTTTAGCTTCATGTTGACCTCTTCTCCTCCTGGACACGCTCTCTCACTCACTTATCAAGGAGTGCAGGTGGTGATAGTTAGCAAGGAGATTCCATGATTATACCCAATGGTCCATTTCTTCACTGAAGCACCTTTCACAATTCCTGCAAGCCAAAGTATAAAGCAAAATTTGATCAGAAATTCTGTCCTTGCACTCTTGAATCTTTTGAAAGCCTCGACTATATTATGTACCTCCTTAATCTTGTTAATTTTAAACTTGAGAAAATCCAATGATTTAAAATTAGCTAGTATTGGGAAAGACCTAATGAATAAGAACAATGTACACATAACATTGTTTTTTTAATTACCAGAAATGTGTGCACTTGCCAGAGGCAGAGAGAGAGGAAGGGAAGAAGAAAGCACTCACACCCCCAGGTGGGGCGTGGTCACCCCACAATCCCTTCTCCTCTGCCACTCTATCCTGTTGTGATTTGGGGAAAACACATGTGCCTTGAGTGTTTTTCAAGATACCAGGGCCAGAATTTAAACCATGATTCAGAGCCATGTGGCACTTGGTTTCCTTAACCATTAGGCAACAGGACCAGCCCCACACAACATTTTAAAGCCAATATTCCTGTTGTAATTGGAATGCAGAGCCATCTAGGAATCATACGACTGGCTACGAATGCATACTAATCAAGACAATGAAACACACATGTGCACACAGACACACACACACACACACACACACACACACACACTCCCCAAAAGCAAGCAAAACACTGATATGTAGAATTCCTTGGCTTTTATTTTTACTTTTTAAAGTTCATAAATGACTTGAATATCCAAAATCACCAGTATTTCATAATTTTTCAGTTTTTATTTTTTTCCAAATATAAGTTTTTAGATAACCTGGAAGGTAGGAACTCATTAAAAAATACCAAAGTGAGTACAAAGAATAACGACTCCTCCTCCAAACCCAAATACCCAGCAATTCTGGAAGTGTCACATGTGTTGCTCACGTATTTAAATAGACACGTATCTACTTAATCAGTCCTCCACTAATTATCACAAATTAAAATCCCTATAAAATGTGGATAACAAAATATGGATAATTTAAGTAAAACAAAAGCATATCCCTGTACCATCTGGCTACTAGTAGAAATAACCAGAAAAAAACAACGAAACTTGGTACTATTAGTACTTAGTCTGGACTGGTCAGGCACATTAATAGGATTATCAATGTCACAGACATAAAGAAGTGCAGCTTCCAGTATAGAGCTGACCACACTCTGGGCAACTCTCAAGCTTTAAGATTCCAAATACAAGATTTTTGCAAGAGTGTCAAGAACATGCAATCCAGTCTCATTTGCATGCTGAGAAGTTGCTTTCCACTCCAAAGGGGCCATGTAAACACATGCACAAGCTTGCTCTGTTATATGTCTACAGACAGCCCAGCACCCGGGTAGACAAAGATGATAGGAAGATAATGGTGTTGCTTCACTCTCCAATTCATTTAACAACTCAAACCATTAGTTGAAGAAAGAAAACCAATGCAAAAGATGGTGCAAAGAATTCAGGATAAGACACTCCCACCAAAATTTGAGCCTGCTTCCGTAGAACAGCTGGAAACATCTTCACAAACAGCCTACTAGAACCACAGTGTGTTCATTCTAAGGGCAACACTTCAGTGAGCTCACTGAAATTTATTCTTGCTGATTAACCACTCCTTTTCTGTTCCTTTTCATGAAGGAAGCAGAAAGTGAGAGTTAAAATTCAACTACTAATTATCCCCAGCCACCTGTTTTGTTTCATCATCATCTCCCAGGGAGTATATAATGCTATTAGCTGAAACAAAGGCAATTCAAGTGTAGTTAAAATGTAATTGTGATGGTATTAAGTTTGGTGCGGAACTCAGTAACAGTTCCCTATGATCACTGATAACAACAGTGCTGGGAGAATAGGTTTCAGAAATTTTTGCTAGTTCTAACACGACTTAAATCACGCAACTGTTTCAATCAACAGCACCCATCTCAGGCTGCAAGGATAAAAGACGACATGGAAATCTAGCTGAATTGGCAATCTTCCTCAGCACTCCCAGATGCGGAACAATTCTGGCACCAAGGGGTCAGCTTACCAGGCTTCCCTTCTCTACCAAACATCTTTCAGGACTAAAGCCTAGTTAACCCATAAACTACTCATTGATATTGCTCATTTCGTTTAGAAGAAAATCTTCTCTCATGTTCTATACACGTAACATGTTTAAGCTTTAAGCATAAAGAGTAGGACTGTGTTTTTCTGTTTTAATCACCAATGCAATAGAAAGTTCTACACCTCCAAAATCCAGGTAAGACAAACAGTCCAATTCCACAATCCAGGTTTGTGAACTTTTAAGTTTTGAAATGTAATTGCTTTTTAAACAGGTCTCAGGACAACATATCCATCAGTGCAGGGCTGCAAGTAGTTCATCCACTCAGCTAGGACAGAAATTTATATGAAGGGAACTGAAGAGTTCAATTGTATTATGACTTCCCTATTTACCTCTTTCATGGTGAAGGAAGGTTAAACAAAAGAGAGAGAGAGAGACTGAACTAGTTTTCATGTTTGTGATTTGTCACCACTTCCTGGTAGAAGATAAGATGCAATCTGGCCTTTTTTTTGTTTGTTTTTTTCCGGTTTGTGACCTTTTTCAAGTCCTGCAGACTTTATTAACAGGAGTATCCTGTCTTGCCTTCCATTATCTGGACTGTCATTCTCCAAAAAATAATTGTTTCCTGTGTTTGTAAATCATTTATATCTTTTTAAAAATGAATGTTATTTATTATAATAATTTTTTTCTATATTACATTGCTCTTCTCTCCTATTGGACCATGGAAGAACTGACTTCTGGGCCTCCAGGTACTCTGATCCAGCCTAAATAATGCAGCTGAAATAAAAATTCTAGTCATTCAGTCACCTTTGATAATATAAAATCCTTAGCAAGACAGTAAAGTCTACCTCACATGGCTTTAAGCAATGCATTCCTCATTACTCTTTTCAGCATTAAACAAAATACTGGGTTGTCAGAAAAGTCATAATGTATTTTTTTCTGTTTTTCAAGGCCATTTATTTATATAAACAACAAAGATCAATCAATAACATATTGTCTGTTTCGTTCAATAACCATTTGCCATTTTACAGTGAGCTTCATAATTCCTCATTCATAGAAGGACCTGTCTTTATCAGAGAAAGCTGAACAAGGTGCTGATTTACAGCATCATCTGAATTGAATGTTATACCACACAAGGTGTTCTGAAGAGAGGAAAACAACTGGAAGTCCAACAGCCCAAAGTCAGGGGAGTATGGTAGGTGTGGCAACACATCCCAACCAAGCTCCAATAATTGTTGACGGGTAATCAAACTTGAGTGTGGTCTTGCATTGTCATGATGAAACACAACTCCTACATAATCATTTTTGGATGATGTATTTGTTCCAACTGTCTAATTGCCAACAGTACAAATTTGAATTGATTGCTTGATTCCTTGGTAGGAGCTCGAAAAACACACCACCTTTAAAATCTCACTACACTGAGAGCATAACCTTCTTCTGATGAATGCCTGCTTTTGATGTCATTTGAGGTGAATCATCAAATTGGGTTCTAGACCATTTGTACACCACACTGTTGTAAACAATTCACTTCTCATTACCAGTTATCAGTTGCTTCAAAAAAGTGTCATTTTCCTCATGTTTAATGAGCATATTGCAGATATTTATAGGCACCATCAAGTGAATGTCTTTGAGTTCATGAGGAACTCAAATATCAAGTTTCCTTATGTATCCCAGCTTCTTCAGATGGTCATGAATGCTTGAATAATGGATGTTCAATGTTTCTGTGGTCTCTCGAGTTGTGTAACATGGGTTTGACTTGATCAATGTCTTTATTGTGTTGTCATCAAACTTGGTGGTCCTCCCTGACCTGAGTGTCATTGAGATCAAAATCACCAGCACGGAATTTCATGAACCGTGATTGGCACTGACGTTCTTGCAGAGCACTGTCACTGTAAACTGTAAGCAAATTTTCACAAGCGTGATGCCATGTTCTTCTCTTTATCGTAAAAAATGGCAAAAATGGAGTTTGGTCTCCATCTTCGACTTGTAAAACTCAACCAAATTGCCTTTTTTAAAAAGAATGCAGCTAGAACTGTGAGCTGTCAAATGACAGAGTGATAACATAGATGTGAATGACTCTAGTACTTCCAAAAATGAACTAGCGCCATCTGTTGCAAAAACGCATCATAACTTTTCCCACAACCCAACAGACCAACTGAATATGCTCTGGTCCTTACCTAGATGTGAAGCTGCCCTTTGTCTATCATTCCTCACACTGGGGGGGGGGGGGGGCCCCCCAAAATTCTCCCTTTTCTTACTTTTTTTTCTACCTCCCCCCACTGGGGGGGGGGGGTGTCCCTCAAAATTCCTCCTTCTCTTACTATTTTTTCTCAATCTCCTGTTTAAAGTCTAAGAAGTCTTTAAAATGTTCATGGAAAATGCAAATTATGAAAAAACTGCATAAAAATTTTAATAAACTTGTACTTTAATTTCATTTTCCATGAACTTGTTGAAACCCTCTTTTTTCCCTTTTGCCAGTGGGCATATGCACTTGCCAGAGAGACAGGTAGAGAGAAAGGGGGCGAAAGCACCCCCCCAAGAGGCGTGGTCACACCACAACCTCTTCTCCTTTATTTCTTCACCCTGTTGGGATTTTGAGCATGTATTGTATATGTACCTGCTGTGTTTTTCAAGCTATGGGGCTGCGATTTGAACCGTGTGAGATACAATTGCCTTAACCACTAGGTAGGGAGCCACCTCCCTAACTCTTTTTTCAAGCCCCATCTCCAAGGGGATTTGTAAATCCCCCTCAAACTCTACAGTAACTTCTCCCTCCTTTGATATACTACACTTTGCCTTGTATAACATCTTCTTGTACAGAATTCCTCTTTTTTTGGAATTTTTTTTTTTAGAATTCTTTTACTTTCTTTATTTTAATTTGACCAGAAAGGGGCGGGGGGGGAAGAGAGAGAGAACGAGTGTGAGAGAGAGAGAAAGGGAGAAAGCAAGCCGCCAGGTCGGGGATTCAAACCGTGGTTGGCCATGTGGGAATCCAGTGCCCTTAGCCACCATGCC